TCTATCAGTCAGGAGAGTAGTCAGCCTGCCTTGCCTGTGCGGCCTTTTTAGCAACAATTACAGAAAACATCCTAGGTGTCAAGGGGACAAAAGAGGGAAAGGACTCTTTTGGAGACTTACAGAAGTGAACTGTGAAGTAAATCCCTCATGAGATCAGTCATCCCTGGGCAAGTCCAAAGCCTTCTCTAACTTTGAGCTCCATGGCAGTGTACCAAGAAACTTTTCCCCTTCACACCAAAGCTTCCCTCCAAGCAAGGAGAAACATGGAGGGCGACATCCTCAGCAGCTGAGGTGTGCTCTTCTACTTAGTCTCTGCAGTTCTGGCCCCAGGTTTCTGCTGCAGCAGTGGTATACAAAAAGAGCGTAGTGGCTAAGACAGAAATGTGCCTGTGGCTTTGCCTGTCCTTGCCTTTGTAAAATGAATTTGGAGACTTCCAGTAGAGATGATAGCATGTTGCAGCCACAAAACCTGGCCTGAATGCTTGGTTCATTATCAGTATAGACATTGAGCTATAATAGCATTGAAGAAAAAACATTATTTGTACTTGCAAAAGGAGTTACTGGTTGCACGTAGAGTTAGTATGTCTAATTAGTAACCACTGCTGTTTTCAGAAGGCCAAGGCAGATGATTTGGGTTGGGCTTCAATACAAGGTGTTGGGTATGTCTATAAGTTTATATGACACCCAGGAGTATGTTAATGATGTGTCTAGTGTGAGTAAGTGGTCATGACACCTCTCAGCAGAGGTGTCTAACGTGGAGCTGCTGAGACATGTAAGGTAGAAGTTGAGAGTGGCAAATGATGTCAGCTGGTGAGAGAGGGCCAGAAGGAAAGAGAAAAAAAGAGAGAGACAAAGTTCTGAGGGATAGAAGGGGAAAATGGAGAATGGAAGATTCAATCCACTGAAAGACAGCAGCACTTATCTCAGAGGTAGTATGAACAACAAGAGAAGTGGGGAGCTGCGAAGGAAGAGAAGAGACTCAGGATAGATCTGGTGGTGCTGAGGGCACCTGCGATGTAGAGGAGGCTAAGCATGAGATGTTCATATTCAGCAGATATGGTGCAAATCAGACTGAAGCTGATCTTTGATGGAGATGAGAAATTCTTGGCAATGGTTGTTGGCCGCACATTCAGACGGGAGACAAAAAATATCAGGGAAGAAATGGGGCCATGCTTGAATTTCTGCGTCAATTCCTAGCAGACAGCTATCCACACTGGTGCTAAATTCTTGGCAGTCTTACCACCGAGGCCATGGAGTAGGTAGATATATGGGCTACAAATGTCCCTCCTGTTTAGGGGAGGGTAGCGTAGTGAAACCAGTGCAGCCTGTGCTCTGTTGCACCTAAATGAAGAGTGCTGTCAGTCCAGGAGCTTTCTGGAAGAAAAGATGACATCTTTGGCGAGACCTTGTGGAAGTTGTTAAATTTTCTGGATTTTTTATTAAACTTGTTTGAAGATCTGCTCTTCCAGGCTCTGCAGTCTGTGTGGACTTCCTAAAGCTACTGAGCAGAGAAATACCTGGAGAAAGAGCGAGCCCCAGAGCCAACATTTGCCACTGATTAAGAAAAGGTATATGCACGAACATATACCTATGAGGTTTTACCAAAACTCCTCTCCAAATGTGCATTGCTGATCACATGCAGGCAAGCTTACTTACACCGATTCTTTGGAGTTTGGAGCAGCGAATCTGCCTCAAAATAAATATCCAATTTCCTGTGTTATTGCATAGGTATGAAAAAGTAGATAAAAAGGGGTCATAAGAATGGCAATGCAATGCAAATGCTGTACTACTATGTTTAAAGGAGAAAGGACATATTATTAACAGAGAAAGTTAGACTGGGTGAGGCTATATGGCTTCAGCACACTTCCCTGTGATACCTCTGGGTCTGAATCAGGCCCATACTCAGATTTCCAACCATGAAAATGGTGGTTATTTAAAAAGCAGCAAATATTTTTTCAGTATTAAAGATGTTTCAAATTTGTTATGTGTTTATTGTAATGAAAAATGATGTTATTAGTTCAGCTGGTTGAAATTTTTTATGTGGAACATTAATCTTCTGAAAAACGAGGCTCTGCAGAAACTGACTCAGGGTGTATGAAGGCAAATTATTATTTCTTGAAGTAAATGATATAGTAAGGAAAAAGGAAATATTTATTTTAAAAGCCATCATATTTGTGTGAAAAATATCGGTAGTTTTCCAGCCAGCACATCTTACAGCGCCTACAGTCTGTAAACTGGTGATTTATTTTGCCTAACTGAAGGTAAGGAGCCTTTTTCTGTTCTGTTCAGTGGGGGATGGATTAGGCCCCAGAAGAGGCTGTCCTGTTACCATTATTTTTATACACTTATGATGTTTTCTGAGACACTGTTTCTGTAAAGTAAACTGGAAATCAAATTATGCCTCCTTCACTCAGTTTGTAAACAAACCTTTCTAGGGCTAGTTAGAGCTGCCAGATGCCTTTTGTATATACGGTGTATGCTCAGAAGTTGTCTCTCAGTGCTGGGAGTCTGGCCACCCCGGTCCTGTGTCTCCTGGGACTGGAAGGAGAATAAGAGTTCAGGCTTCTCCACCAAGGGGGAGATTTCTCTGCACCTGTGTAGCTTCATACAGCTTAACTTGCCTACACGGAATTTGTTTGGTCACCTACATGTATATTCATAAATTATACCCCTCTTTGGAGTAAGAAGTCAAAATGGAGCGTTCCCTTTTTTATAATGCAGTAGTTAATTAATTCTACTTGTATGCATGTAAAGGATCATTTCTTGGTGTAACACTGAAGCCTGCCACTCAAAATTAACACAGACTATGTACAATTGAAAAAAAAAAGATTTTTGGATATATATTTTATTTGACAGTGGTTTAGAATATCATACAGTAAACAAGATTTCTGTAAAAGTTAATTTATCCATAGTGGTGCGTTTCATAAAAATAGTTGCTCACTTACAGCCTTTCTGTGACTATTAATACATGGAATTATATTTATAGAGATAGAGCTGTACAGGGTAAATTCACAGCTAACACTACACAGAAATATTATTTGGAATGGGGTTTAGATGATGTGCTGTCTTCACAGGTTATCGATTACAGCCGCATAAAGCAATTACTGCACAAGGAGTAGCTGTGAACTGTGCAAATTAGAGTTTATGCAAGCATAATCTCAACTGTTTTTCAGATTTCATTGTTTGCTTTCTTTATACATAAAAATAAGATACTGGGACGTGCATCTACACTACAGAAGCATTGTCCAAAATCAGATTCAATAAATTAATGGCAAATTATATTGGATTCTAGTTCAGGGGATAAAGATTTTTTTTTTTTCATTAAATAAGAGTTTTATAAACAGCTACATGGACTTGTGCTTTTTTAGAAATTATAAATGGACTTTTCTTTCTAAAAAAATTTGTTTGAAAGCTGCAAAATCCTTGACTTGAGGCTTTTCAAATAATCAGACAGGAAGAAACATGCCTATAAATTTCTCAGTCCAGTGCAATGTTTGAGACATACAGTAATGTGCTGATTTCTTGGAACAAAGCCAATCTCAATCTAATTTTTCAGCAGAGCATGTGAGGAACTAAGATTGCTAGAGAACATTAGTTTTTAAATATGACTTTTCGACAGTACTTAGCTTTATGATTTGTTTTTTAATTACCAATGCATTATTGCCCAGGATTTTGTTTTAATTTTGACAGACAAGTAAGCATATGCACGCTTACACAGACACACACGCATCTTTTTGAAACAAGATAATGACTGATTGACTGAACTCGGAGTTATTTCCTGTGAAGGCAGACTGGAATGTTTACCTGGCACTTAAGGCTTGAAATTCAAAACAGACAAGCAAGAAAGATAAAAACAAAAAAGACCAAAAAAAAAATGGAGGTAGGGAAGAAATGATAAAATGGAAATATATCGAATTTACTGAAAGAGGACACTGACAACTGTATTTCAGAAACCAGTCTAATTATTGTTAACATGTGCCTTAGAGGCACCTGCTCTGCCAAACTGAGGGGATGAAAGTTGAGAGTGTCCTAACTAGATGTAGATGGGTATGAAACATAGCACTGTTGACAAGTGAAGCTCTCGTTTTCTGCAGGAGGGAAAGGCCTTTCCTTAAGGAAACTGCAGCTTTTTCTCTGTAGCACTCTTCCTTTCATTGCAAGGGCCTTGCAGACATCTGGGTTTTGAGCCTGACCAATTGGTTTGTGTGCTACCTCGCAGGATTTGGGCAACCTGTAATAAATCGCTTTTGAGAATAATTTGCAAATACAACTCCACCCTAACTCCTTTCCAATGTACAGAAACATGGTTTGTTCACAAAAATGGCAGTAGAAATGGTATCACAGAAACTAATCCACTGGATTCCCCACACCTCCCGTAGCGCCCAGTGAACTGTGCTACAGGGTATCACGTGGACTATCCCAAAGTGTTAACAGTGGAGATGTGTCATGGGTGTACAGTTCCAAACGATGCTTCAAAGAAACCCTTTAACCCCTGTCTAGATATGTTGAGAACAATTTATTTACAACATTTTAGCTCCATGAAAAGATCCTCTCTCGGTTTCAGCTTGCTCCGTGCAGTTTTATTTAAGGCGATGTTCCAGTTTGTGATTGCTCTAACTTGTTCCAGTTTCTTGATATAAAGTTTGAATGAAATCCAAGTCCTTCATGCAGTGGGAAAAAAAATGCTAAAGCTACACTGCACTATCCTTCTCTGATGTACTGTCCTTCATATTGTTTTGGTTTCTTCCATAGCTGCCAAAGTCCCTAAAATGGAACTGGGACTTTAGGGTCGATTTTAAATCTCCGTGTTGACTATATGCTTTTGAACTTATTAGATACTGTGCACATTGTCATGGAATTACACACTAATGTTTTCATTCCTCAATGCATTGTGTATATGTGTGATAGTTAAAATAAATTAAAACAAACCAATGTGAGACAAAAACTAAGAAGAATGTTCTGCGTCAGTTTGAGACAGTTAGAGGGCAACAGTCCCTTGCTTATCTGCTCATGGCAGAAGTACCAGACTTCAGGACGCTAGGTAGCTTATCTGAGCCAGGGATTTTCCACGGCCCTGGGGAGACCGTTGCCTTTCGAACTGTGGTGTTGGTGCTGTGAGTGCTAATGGAGTGGAGATGTCCCTTCCTGGGGAACTCGCTGGGTTTCCCGTCAGGGTCCCTCTGGCTGTGGTCCATATCAATTCCAGGCGAGCTGCAGCGGTTGCTACTGTACGTCTTGGTAGCACCTGTATCAAGCTTGACATGGTCGGATGCTGCAGCTGACTTCTTCTCACTGGTATTTTTGGATTTGTGATCTTCTTTTTTGCTAAGAGATCCTCCTCTCTTGCTTTCCGGCTTCCTCAGCCTCCCAAACTGTTCATCACTGGTTCCAGCACACACGTGCTCTCTCGCGCCAGCCTCGATCATTATGCTGTGTCCCACCACTTTGTTTTCTGAGGTGGGCCTGCCACCATCAGTGGTCTTATTTTTGCCTTCTGAATATCCTTTCCAAGAAGCCTCTTCATGCTTTGACCTGTCTACCTTTTTAGGACTTGCTGACCTTTCTCTTTGTTCTCCTAACCTTTTCTTTTTGTGACCATTCACTGAAAGCTCCTTTGGTTTCCTTACATTGTGTTCCCTCTTGATATCCCATGTTGACTCTGGGTTTATCTGGTGAGAAGGGTCAGAGGGTGGGGCTATGTGTGATGAAGATAATGGTGAGATTATGTCGTCGAGGGAAAGAGCTACTTCCGGCAGACCTGGGGAGGTGGCAGAGGGAGCACTCCAGGAGTTTGGTTCGTCTGTTGTAACAACAAAGAGAAGGGAGTTAAGGGCGTATTCAGCAGCACAGAGCGCGTATTGCATAGACATATATATTCTGAGCAACATCGACACCAAAACCACATACCAGACTTAAACTCCTATGTCATAGGTGAGGCGAAACTCCCAGGGAAGTCAATGGGGAGGAAAACAAAAATAATCTCCCTCCCCGCCCCCCGAAAAAATGTTCAGGAGAAACAAGAACCACAGGGCTGGTAACTGCAAATGCTGGAAACCCCGGTCTTTTTTTCATACAGATTCTGCTTTCCTCTGCCTATGTTAAATTATTCTTAAAATAATAAAGGCATGTGCTCGTGAAATCAGATTGCCTCTTTTGTAGCTGTATAATGGATTTCTTAGCTGGGCAATATCAGCGCTGTCTCTGAGGACAAACGAGAAGGACTTTCTGCCATCTATTAAGCATGTCCCCATAAGCATATAATAATTGACAAGAATTTGTAGCTCAAATAAGGTCATCATTGAATTCTGTCTCATACTTTTTCTAAACAGATGTAATACTGCAGTGTTTATGGCCCCACAATTCTTACAGGGTACTTACAAAGCTCTGCCTTTATATCACAGCATCAGCCGCTGAGTCTCTTGGCTGTGCATTTTGAATTTCTCCTGGTTACTTAGCCTCAACACAGTATGGTTGGATTGTGCAGATCCTGTTTAATTTAGCTAAACAGACATCTCCTTTGCTGAATCATGATGATTTTCCTAATCCATTGGTGCAAAACAGAATATTCTGAGATGCCTTTCTCTTGCATACATGGTTTCTTTTGATTAACATTCTGGCAGACAACGAATCCATCATGACTAATGACAGCACGACTCTTATTCTTACCCGTCTACATAGAGGTTAGAGAAATCACTGAACTTGGCTAATGTCATTCCCTATTTAGCACCATTGCCTGGCTCTGAATGGTATGAGCAATAAACTGTCAGAGATGAAGGACTATCTCAGGGATCCATGGAAACGAGATGGAACTCATGGCAAGAGCTGCATATTTCATGGGGGGAAAAAATGTAACCTTCTAGCTGAAAAACAAGCATGGACTTCTACGGGTCAGGACTAGTATCTCTCAGTGATGTCAACTGTCCTTTAAAAGATACATTTATTTTTCTCAGTGCTACAGCTGCCTTCAAATTGTCATGAAGATGCACATCATCTCGAAAAATGGAATGGATTTTACTGCCCAGGCTGGGATCTGCAGCTTGCTTGACTGGGATGGCACTTTTAAGTTAATAGCTTGATTGAGTGATTGCTGTCTTGCAGATAAAAATAGGAGAGACAATAGTGAGGTGGGTGATGTAAAGGGAGGGAGCAGCGCGGTTAGCTGAGGAGTTATTTATTTTCCCAGATGGTGTTTGTCATATGCTTTCGCATAATGAGCATATGTGTGGAGAGGATTAGCGTTTGAGAGGGGAGAAAGTACAAGTTCTGTGTAAGACAAATAAACTTTGAGCTGGGAATCTAAATGGGCTGAGGGTCTCAACTGATTTTTTTTTTTTTTTAAAATCACACTTTCTTACCCTCCAGTTAAGGCTGAGTAATGTACCATCTGCTCCCTGCTTGGCACTTGAGCAAGAAAAAAATGAAAGGAAGACTCGTGCATGTAGAGTGATCAGCTCTTAGGAGCTTGCCTACAAAAAACATCTGCTTTGATGGGCTTCTTCTTTACTTCTGCTCTTCAGCGCCGCCCCCCTGGTACAGGACCGTGCGCTGTGCCTGACGGGGGAGGTGCAGACCCCACCCCGGCTCTTTTTAGATCTGAAATCCAGGGGATCCCATTTTGGTTGACACTTGAATTAGGGACCATGCATGGGGTCCGAGTCACTTTGCCTGGTTCTCTAAAACTATCCCAGGGCTCTGCCGAGCAGCATGAAGCTGCCTGTGTCCACCAGCGAAGTACCTGAGCTAGCACTAAACAAGCCACCTTGGGCCTTAGAAAATTAAGTTTGTCCTTTTATGGCATTGTCACATCTCCCCAGGGTTGAGGTGGTGCCGAGCATTGGCCTGACCAACGTATTTGACTTAACTACAGTCTTCTTTCCCAGTTGTCCATGAGATGATGTTTTTCACTGAGTGGCAGTGAAGAGCAGTGGGCCATTACCAGATCTTGTGCAAGGCTCTGGGAGCATCTGAAGTTACAGAAATAGCTTGTTACTTTGGGAAGTATCAGCTGCACACCAGTAAAAACATCAAATGGCCTGGAGAAATAAGATGCTTTCGGGTAACAAGATTGCCTCTGTGCAAAATGTGCCACTATGCTTAAATCAGCTGTTTCTTGTCCAGAACAAGCCAGGTGGCCACCATTCAAAACCAGGGTGGCAAACACCTCTTGTGGTTCCTCTGAGGCACGAAAGGCAATATTATACCAGTTATTTGTGGGACACTCAGGGGAGGAGACCTGAGGGTGAGTGGCCTGCTGTTTTATTCCCTAGAGACGAGAGAACTGCTTTATTAAGGGACTGTCCCCCTAGACAATTTTCATTTTTTTTTATATTTTCTTTTTTGGAGGGGAGGGAAAAACCACTGAATGTTGCAGTGAGAAATAGTGGGTTAGAACCTACTTCAACAAAAGTGAATCAACGTATTTGTTACATGTAATGTTATATAAATCTAGATATCTATAAACTAGGACATGCAATATTATATGCATTACCGGATTTCTGCCTCTCCCCCAGAAAACCCTAGGAAAAAGACAACTTGGCCAACTAAGCAAGAAGACTTGTAGCCACAGCTTAAAGGGACGTTTGGCTGTGGGAGAACCCCAGGTGGGCCACTGGCTCCAGTTTGTTTAAAATACCATGCCTGGCCTTCTTGCTGGCGAGCACCTATATAGGCTGTATTTCCAGTGGCTGGGGGAAAAAAGTTGCCATGAAATAAAACTATCATTCATATTCTGTGGCAATATAGTACTTGCAAGTAAGAACTTGACAAAATGACTTTCTACTTTGATGGTTTAAGTACCATCAATCTGAGACAGCCAAACCCCAACCTAACCTGCTTTTTCTTTCAAATGAAATGAAATTATGCAGAAAGTCATCCTCAGCCTTGGTAGACGTTAATGTCAACAAGCTATTGTTGCAATATGTCACTGGCTAGTGAGGAGAATACTGATGTGAGGGTATTCTAACTGACTTTCCTCCAATGTTTGAACATTATGGGAAAATATCAAATTGACTAGAGTAGGGCAAAGTGCAGTAATGTAAGCAATTTGTTGCTCAAAAGAAAAGTCGTTTAAAGAGCTGTGTTCAAGCCATAAGGGTTCATTTGGACTTGTTCAACCAGCACTAAAATGAATGCTTTTCCATAACAAATATAAACAGGAGAAAAATGCAAAATTTTATTCTGTAGAGCAACTAAACTAATGATTTCTCTTTATGCTTATTCTGAGGTTATAGCTGCACTTTGGAGAGATTTATTAATATTTCTGAATAAATATTTTTTTCTGTAGTTTTTAAGATGTATATAAAACCTATGTGTTAAGTGTGAATATAACCTACTTTTACTGTCTGTTATTCCAAAATATCTCAAAACATTTTGCAAACATACTAAATCAGAGACAGAGCAATGATTTTACTTTTTTCTCCCTTCACCTCTGGGAGGAACTGAAGACAGTATTTGTTTAATAGAGCAGGAAGTATTAATGCCCAAACAACTTACAAGCAGAAGTGAAGGATATCGCATTCGGTTGAAACTGCTGGAGAGATTTAGGGACGATGCAGTTTTAAATTTGTTTCTGACTTTGTCACTATGGATATCATCCTTACTGTGGGAGAAATTGCTTTTCAAAGGTATACATCTCACTGAAGGCTAATAGATGCCTTCCTCCCTTCTCTGAAGGGAGAAAATCTCCCTTGACCTACTAATTTAGACAAGATAAATGAGCTGGAAGCAGCACTATAATCTGTCACTGTGATGGCATTTGATTTGGTGTAATTTAGTAGGTGTTTTCTGGGTGGCTTTTAGTTTCCACAAGCTACTGTCATGGAGGTTGGCGGCACTTCTCCATGGGATGTGTAAGAATGACTCACCTATGACCTGTTTTGCATAACTCCCAGGCAAGGAGTAAATTGCTAACTGAGTAAGAGACACCACAGACACAAAACTTGAGTGTGTAGGAGGACAAGTAGGAGATGAACACAGCCATTTTGGAGGAAGAGTGACAAGGGGAAAACATCCGGAGCAGAAGTTTTCTGTCTAGAGGCTTTTTTGTTGGAGGTAGAACTGCCATATACATGAATTGTTTGCTTTGCTACATCAGCTTACACACGTTCAATGGAGTGGAAATGAGGGTACTACTCTCACGTATCTACTTGCTTCTCTCTTAACTAAAGCCTAGTCTTCTGCCTGGATCCAGTGCTTGCTGATGGCTTACATCTGAATCGCTAGCAAAAGAAACCTGGCTTTACTGCTAATGGAGTAGAGAGGTGTGCCTGTCTTACTTTCTGAGCATTGCCTGGGTACTAAGTCAGAGGAAAGAGCTCAGCCTACTGATAAGTTTATTTAATTTCCTGCAATACTTATGTTTTTTTACAGGTTGCCCTTCTAAGATTCTGCCAGGTCTAGTCTTGCTGTGCTTATCTGCTCTGCCAAGATCTCAGGTCAAGAAAGATTAGACCTCGGATTTGTTACTAGGTTCTCCTTTTGCATCAAAATACTTTAAATAATTGCTCGATAGTTTATCAAGAATGTGGGATTTTTCATCAGATAAAATAAATCATAAAATAGTAATATTAATTTATTTTATATTTAATAGTAATATTAAGAAAGCTTTGAATGATTTCAGTGGTCTGAATGAAATATTTCCTGAAATGTCTAAGCAGCTGTTTTCGTATCTTCCCAGAATTATTTTCCTAGGGAATCAAAGAGTTTTTGATTAAATAAAAAATACGGTGCTTTATTTTTTTCCCCCACTTTTTGTCTGAAATTATGTATTGCCAGAAGGTGGCAAACAGTTCTTACAGATGC